AGTGTTCATTTCGTTTTTTCAGGTACGTTCACGACGTGGCTCTCGATTATCTCAGTCGGGTTCACAAAGTGGCAGTCCAACTCGTCGATCGAGTGGATCCAAGGAGCGATCACCTAGTCAACCTGATATTCACTGCATTCCAAAACCTCCACAACGGTAATATTCTGCTTGGCAAATATTCCCTATAGGAAGCCATCACTAAAAAGGCTATATGCTCATACAGTAGCCTTTTTATCGCCATATTGGGGCAAGCAAATTCTTAGGCTCTCAAGGTGGTAGGGGCAATAGGAGGCGGGGTGGGGTGTTTGTAGGCCAACTTGCGGCTTTAAATTGTGTTAGCGGATGGAGCAACTTCACCTGAGCGTTGACGTTGCCTGAGCTTTGGTTTCTGTAAATAATTAGGTTCTGTGAAAATGTAGAATCCGTTCAAGAGGCGAATAATTATGGCTTAGGGCACAGGGAGAGGATACTCTTTCGTTTAGTCTCCGTCTAAGGGCACGTGCGAAACGGAGACTAAACTACTCTTTGAGTCCCACCCCCTAAATAAATTTTGAATAAAACACACATAACAATATTGAGATCGAAAAAAAAACAAAAACAGTTTTAATTTCACAAATAGAACAGTTTAATCATGTACAAAATTTTTTTACAAATGAAATATACGGAAGGATGACAAATGTAACTAATACAGTGTCTCTGGTTTTTATCCCCGGCTCAGATAATTTGGCAATAAGGGGAAGCGAGGATGTTCTTTGAAAGTCCCAAACTCATGTCGTTTACTCATGGAAAACGGGTTTAAAAGGGTTGAAGAAGGAAAAACAAAGAAAAGAATATAACCAGAGAAGCCCGAAAATTCAGAAAAAAAGTATTCAATAAAGAGTTTAAGACTTGAAAATCAATCTTTAAAAACTGGTAGCGCACTTGCCCGGAAAGCGAGAGGTGCGGGTTCTAGTCCCGCCTGGGGCGAAAGTTTTGTTCACAACCCAGCATACTTGTGACAAGCTATGGTACGTATACCATGAAAGCTGAGTTGGGATGAAATGGTGCCCCGGTAGCGTAACTGGTAGCGCACTTGCCCGGAAAGCGAGAGGTGCGGGTTCTAGTCCCGCCTGGGGCGAAAGTTTTGTTCACAACCCAGCATTCTTGTGAAACATTCGCAAGGCGAACTGCGGCCAAAAACAGCAGTTAACAAACAAAAACAAGTCAAAATCAATTTTAAAATTTTGTAACATTTCGTCGACTCTTCGTTCTGCTCGGTTATTACGCGTCGGAGCCTCTTCGTTCTGCTCAAGAAACCACCATAATCCCACATGAAGTTGCATCGGAGAACTTCGTCCCAAATGTGCCTGCGGCACAAGCAGTTTCGCACAGAGTTTCCTTGGTTCAAGAAGCGGTTGGTTTTAGGATGGCGGGAGATCCCACACCGATTTCGCCCTGCCGCGGAAACACACTGGCCCAGTGATCGAATTGTGTCCGGCCTCCAGACAAGAAACGCGGGTGCAATTGCGTACCCATCCTCCCTTCATGGCATCCAGTATCCGCTATAGCCTGTGTCGAATTCAAATACGCAGCAGGAGCCCGACGAACAAAATAAGTGATTGGCTTTTACTCCAGTTCATTGGAGATGCCGGCATCACAATAGACGTGCCTAAGATTGAACTGATTCAAGAGGTGACGCGATCCGGCTTCACTCCAATAGAATACCCAGCTCATGAGATCACCCGCGGTTAGTTTTGTCGTAGGCTACAATATACTCTACTGGATTTTTGTTAAGCAACGTCAACCTAGCGATCAAAGCTTCATGAGAGTGTGTATTCCGACACGGAAATTGCCAAGGCAGTGCTTGTTAGCCGATGGTCGGGGGTCTGCTCTTTCGACATCTCCGTTCTCCGGCCCTGCTATTTCGAACTGGGTCGCAAATTGTGCGGTTGGAAGAAAGGTTCCACAACACAATTTTCCAATTTTCCTTTCTTCTACTTAAAAGGTCGTAGGTAACGTTTATGATCAACAAAACATTTCCGTAGCTTCCATTCACTGGGTGTATATAGGCGCTACAGTCACTAGCTATGCAAGGAATCCAAAAAACCTCGACCACTAGTCAAGCTGCATTCCGTTATTGTAAGGCTGGTGTCAGAGTCCGCGATCCATCGCGCCAATCGCGCGACGGATGGCAGAAATCGAAGTGCCCGATCGATACTCCCCAGCGTTAGAGTAGTTAGAGAAGTGGAGGACACTCAATGTAGACATACAAGGCCAGCACTTGTAAACAGAAAAGGTGAAATTGTCAAGAATGGGAAGGAAAATGTTGCAGGACTCTATTTCCAACCTAATACCTTACGCCATATTCATGCCCACCCTGCATCGGTAAATCGGTAGGGTTTTACTTTTTCTTCCACAGCAAACGCCGCAGTTCTACTGTTCTCACCCGAGAGACGATCGTATGAACCCGTGCTTTTTGTCCCATTTTCTTCTGCCCAATCGTGGCCCGTTTATAGTAAATTTTTCCTTGTTAAGGCTTCGTGAAGAAGAGCTGCAGAGCGAGGAGGATCCATTACGGAAGAGAAAGCGAAGAAGAGGTTCGGAAACTGAGCGAGGTGAGGAAGATGAAAATTCTCGATCGACGACGAAAAAGCACTCAGGAGAATCCGAATGGAATACCCATCATGCAGGCATTCCAGAAGGTACGTTATACGCCAATACATAGTTAAGAGGATATTGAATTAGAGCTGAGATGTTCGCTATGCTTAATTTCTTTGTTCCGCATCAATGCATGTTAAGCCTATGGAACTATACTTGCGAACAAGCGAGGTTCAAGTTTAAAGGCATGGGTCGCGAAGGAATTGGGGTATAATTTGTCAAAGAGTCTGAAAAGGGAATCCGAGTCAGGAAAAGCAAGAAACACCAAAGAAAAGTGGGATTTCTCTAGTGAGGTCGACCTGGTGTGATGATGGAACGCAGCGCTGCAAGCAGAGAAAAAAGGGGAGAGAATTCGTACGCGAGAGTGCGCGGACGCCACCTATGCTGCCATTGATAAGAATAGTACCAAATAATACCACCACCTCGAAGAATAGGGGTCCTGCTTTCTCGCACGAGAGTCTAGCACCTTCGAGGATCTGATCGGGATCCGTGCCTTCGATGAGACGCTATACAGCAAAGGAGAGGACCCAGCGACCACACATGGCACTACCCGTGGCGCTA